CACATTTTTTCCTCTCTCCCTCCTGCCCAACTCTGGTACTTTCCTGTAGGGCCCTATGTGGCATGATGTGCCCATTTCTCTTGGGATCTGTGAGTAACAAGCTATCTTTTCCATGGCAATCATCTCCTGATACTTTGGTCTTGTCATACGTGAGTAATACTAAAACCTACATTGTAAAACAAGAGACAAGGTAACAAGCTCAGTTCTGGACATGCTGAATGGCACATGACTGTGAGACACCTCAGGGAGGTGTTGGAGGGCAGACTGGATGCCAGAATGGCCATGTCACTCAACGGGGAGGCTGGACCTATAGCAGGGTGGATGTCATTCATGCTCGCTGCTCTCCTGGCTGCTTTCTTCCTGTGGGTCTTCACTCTCAAGGGAGACACCAAGGTCTTTGAGCCTGATTTGCTGAGACTGTGGGGTCATTGCTGTGAGCTTGGAACAGTGACTATGGCGTGGCAGGTTGTGGGTGGGACTAGCCCAGGAGCCTTCATAACAAGACTTTGTAACAAGGACCTCCACGCCCTCCCACCCCTACTTGGATGTCTGGATCCTGGGACTGGGAACAGACCCTTGCCTGGGCTACAGGCTGGATTCTCAACGCCACCGCACCACCCATCCTTACTCCAGGCCCTCACAACCCCTCCAGTTTCCTCCAAGTCTAGGTCCCTCCTCTCCAACTCTGGCCCACACCTGACCCAGAGCCAATGCTCGCATGAAGGAGAGGCAGAGAAAGACAGCAAGCAGGACCGTGACACCGCCTCCCACAACGGCCCCCAGAACTACTCCTGCTTCTACCTTTGGTTTCCCTGCAGACAAGAGAGATTTGGGGTGAACTCCAATCCTTATAAACAGGCATGTGTCCGCTCCTCTCCAGCACTAAGAGAGGGGTGCCCTCCCCTCTGAAACTGAGCTAATCCCCTAGGTCTTCTCACCCATCATAGGACCCCAGACTTCCCCAGAACCACGGGATGAAAAAGAGTCCAAGAACCCAAAATAGAGCACACCCAACACGTCCTGACCAGAAAACCCCCTCTCTCCTAGGACCCTGGCTCTTCTCCATCCTGGGTCTCTCTTCAACAAACCCCAGACCTGGTCACAGCAGGACCATGTAGCTCTAGGTCCTGTAGGCATTTCAGAGAGAGAGAGAGAGAGAGAGAGANTGATGCCCTAACCTAAGTCTTCTTCATCTCTTGCCTGGATTATCTGGGTGTTCTCCTATCCGGTCTCCTCTCTTCTGCCCTATCCAGCAGCCTTTCTCAACACAGCAGTCAGATTGAGCCCATTACAATAAATGTCAGTTCATGTTACTCTTTTTATTTTTCATGTTACTCTTCTAATCAAACTATATAAGTAATCATGGTGGATTTATATAAAATATGTATTTGTAAAAATACAGATATGGTACAAGAACGTAGAACAATTGGCAAGTGGGAGTTGACAGATATTTGCTGAAGGAATGGACGAGTGCAGAAGTGATAGCTTACCCTGTGCTCAAAACCCATACAGTAGTGCCCACTGTGGTCAGAATGAAATTAATAGATGAAAATCAGAGCCCAAAGGATGAGTGGGAGTTGGGTAGGTTGATATAGGCATGTGAAGAGTAGGAGGCAGCTGAGCAACGTTTGTGAGCTGCAAAGAGCTTGCTCTGCTTGAGGAGAGTGTAAACACCAGTGTGGGGGAAACACAGCATTGACGGTGACCCTGGTTTTCCCACCCCAAGTGCCTGACCTAGTTTTTTGGATGCTTACCTCTAGACAGTGCGAAGAAACATTGCATTTCAAATTGGGGTTGACAGGACAATGACTTTTGGGGAGGCAATGTTAGTGTGCTGGGGAGGATAGAGGGGAGGCTTGGGCAGTAGCAGGGTAAGAGGAGCTCAGATCAATGGGAATGGTTGTATTAAGCTGTTTTCAGAAGAAGCACAGACATGCTTTGTGTATGTTGGCAGAGGAAGAAGAGATGGAGGACTGGGGTAAGATGGGATCAGGTTTCTGGTTGAGTAATGGGGACAAGAGTGCCACCAGTTAGATGGAGGACCCAGCAGGAGAAGCATGATGAGGGGTGTGTTAACCTTGTGTTCATGATGTTTTGACATCCAGAGCCTTGCTGACCCTGGAGAGGCTGCCGGTCTCAGCGATGGCAAATTTTGAGGATAGTGCATCTTTCACATGCAAATCAACCAATCCAAAGCCCATAGCCATGACCACATCTTTATTGGCCTCTTACACTCTGAGCCACTATCCTGTCCTAGTAATCCCAGGGCGAGGTACCAGACTAGAGAGAGCCCTTATACCCCAGAGCTTGCTGAAATTATTCAAAGTAGCCAATCCTAAACCTGTTTAGCCTACTTGCCCTGTCTCCCATTCCTACCCATGAAAACCACCATAAAGGCTTTCATTCACATTTTTTCCTCTCTCCCTCCTGCCCAACTCTGGTACTTTCCTGTAGGGCCCTATGTGG